AAGGAACCACACGTTTGGCACCCCGATAACTCCGACCATCCCTATTGCCATGCGGGAAGTGCTGAGCTGAGCAATGAATAGAGGTGCTGTCGGCTCCCGAAAGCATTCCCCTAGCTTTTAAAAGAACCATGGTGTACACCCTGGTAAAGAACACCATGTTTTGTTCGCGAATGTTGGGGATTCCGAGCAAGTTCCATCCTTGTGGGGGGGGGGTTGGGTATTGCCTCGATATGCGAAAAGAGCTCGCTAACTGACAGCGGTAACTACGGAGGTGATTGCAATATCCTAATAGCGTCGAAGCTGCTTACGTCTGTCATATTCCCCAGGTTGTACCAAATGCATCACGAGTAGACTCGTGAGGAGCAAACTGGCCTTCGTGCCGGTCGTGGATGTATCAATCGAATCTCTACCCTCCGAAATATGTTAGAGCACCGACATACTTCCCAAGGACCGACAGTCAGCGTATTCCTGGAAATTTGTGCTGCCATTCACCCCGTCGATAGAACTGCACTGTGGATCTGTTTGTTGGGGAATGGAGTACCTGAGAAGTATGTATCAGTCCTCGAAATGTTGTATCATCACACCTCAGATCGGGTAAATGCCCACGGTCGGCTTTCGTCCCTTTTGTTGTTTCCAGTGGAGTCCTTCAAGAGTCCCTTGATTCCCCAATCCTCTTCGAATTCATTGTAGAGGATGTTCCACGGAATGTCTTATCTGGTCTTCCATATGGCGGAGTTGAACTCCACCCAGCGAACAGAGTTTTTGACTTCGAATATGCCGATGATATCGCCTTGCCGAGTGATAATGTGCAGGCAATCCAACATGCTTTTGACTGCTCGGTTGGTTGTGGTACTCAGATATGAAACATACTTCCACATTCAAAGCGTTTTTGCAAGATTGATTGGAGCCTGTGCTTCCACTCATATTTTTTAATGGTCAGCTAGAATCAGTCGGCAAATTCAAGTACCTTAGGAGTTTGACAACAGCTGTTGAGAATGAGATCAGTTTACGAATGACGAAACTAAAGCAGCTTTCATAAACCTGTGGCACGTGCTGTCTTGCCGTGAATACCTTTTATCTTTAAGGAGATGACTGGACGTGACCCAGAGCTGTATTATTTTGCTCCGCGGTCGTGAGGCTGAGCAATGGCCAGGTGCACCGTCGTGTGTTGGATAGGAATAGCAGCTATTCTGACGACGTGCTTGCTGCACACTACGTCCAGTAACTCAGGCACGCTTTGCTAACGGCTGTTCTTTGTCTCCCTTCCCGTACTCTATTTGCACTTGTTGCGGAAGGATGGAAGACGAACCGTGGCGGTAAAAACATGATATGGCTTGGAAGAAGGAAACAGCTAGCATTAGTCCTGGCACCAGTTGGCCTTTCCTGCCTCCATGGTTGGGGCCCATTTGACGAAGATTGTCTTTAGTTAGATACGCTAGGGGACAATCATCAGAATAGAAGACAGTGAATTCGGTGCGGAATCTCCTACCCCGTAATGACAAAAATTTCATTCTCTCAACCAAAATGACAAAATGAAATAACAGAAACTTATACGGTGAGAGAGAATAGAAACTACTGTAGTTTAATTTATGCAATAATTGTCTCTTTCATTATTCTCTCTTCGGCCTATTCTTGCAATGTTCACTACTCTGTTAGCACCGTGCTTGATTTCAAGCCAAGAATGTAACTTCCTCACATTGTGAAGTCAATTTCTTCAGCCCGTGATGTCATATTGGACAGTAGGAATCCCAGTGCTAACAAAAATTGGCCGGATGTGCCTGAATTTACCACGCACTATCGGGAGGCGATGCGAAAATCATTGCTTCCCAGCTGGGAGTTGATGTACGTTGTCACCTCCGTTTGCTCTTGGAATATGCATTGCTAACGCTGGACACAGAAGCGCGCAGTCAGCTGTTGCGGATTGCTTTCTGAATAGCTAGTCGTACCTCACGCAAGACTGAATACATATCGTCCGGGTCAGTCGGAACGTGAAAGGAGGAATTTGCGACCGCAGGAAAACGGATTCAAATACAATGTTCCCACTGTGGAACTTGGGGTATTTTTGAAGTCAGTGCCACGTAAGCCAACAACGCGATGCAGTAAATAAAGATGTGAGCTCTTACTTCCCTTGCTCTCAAAATCAGATCGCTATCCGTGAGAAGATTGTTGGATTATCCGCGCACAAATCGGATTTGATGAGCGTATTGAAGTCTGCCTGATGGAAAGCAGTGCGTGGATTTTGTTTGTAAAGCGTGTGCCAGATGAAAAAGCACCACGAAAATTAGAACGGTCAGAGGACACACTGACAGGACGGCATGAAGGATGATTGGAATAACCGATAGAACCTTGATGTACGAATTTCTAATATCACGCGATATCAAGCAAACAATACTGGATGCCGATCTGTAGCATGCACCGATTGCGGTGATCGATCTTAAAGAATGTCGGTTGAACACGAGGCTTGGTTCAGTGCCAATTGTTCACCAACAATCCAAGCAGGTGTGGGTGTCCAGTGCAAGTGGTAAATGTAGCAATCTGAACTCGGCATTTCAACCGATCCTGCGAGAATTCGCTGAGTTGTTCACGACCGATGAGGATCCACACAGTCTTTCAGATTGGGGAGAAAACGAAATACCTACAAATTCCGGGGCTTTTCAGCTACACGGACGCTGTTGTCTTCCTGTCCATCTTGAGCATAAAGCAATAAGACAAATGAACGATATGCTGGAAGAAAGATTTATCGGAGAAGCGCAAAGCCTGTACAACAATCTTGTTTTGCTAGTGACAAATTCCAAAGGGAAATTTCGATGTTATATCGATTTACGATGTGGAAACGATATTCCAATACACAAGATGATGTCAGCGCATTCAATAGCAGAGATATAAGGTGAACTACAAGCAAGCACCATATTTCCGGTGACCGACTTGCATTTGGTGTTTTGGAAAGTTCATCGTCGGGGACAAGAAATACGGCCGTCTGAGAATGTCATTTGGATTAGCAGAAGTGCCGTTTACCATTTACTTGATAATGCCTAAATTGTCAGCAAGACTAGCAAACGCTGCAGTCTACGGAAGAGATATACTGGTCCACGGTCTAACGGCGAACGAATATATCATGATGTTGGAGAGCCTGCTTATGCGTATTAAGTTTTGGGGACTGAAAATAATCGGACAACGGACCCAAGTGAGAGGAGCGATGATAACCCTTCATGGCCACAGAATTTGCCAACGAAGAACTGCAACTGAGTGACGACAAAATTCTCAAACTGAAGGAGTTTCCAGTACTGGCCTCTAAAAGCTCATGGAAACGGTTTTTGGGTTGTGTCGCATATTACAGTCGGTCGGTGGCAAGTAGCACATCTACAGGTGTTGTCCATTATAATGCACGAGTGAACATACATGAAGCCTAATAAGATTTAGCAGGCCATCGGTTACCGATAATGGTTCATTCGGAGTTTCCTCTTATTAACCTTGATTGTTTGGAGCGCCATGGGTGGTTGAATGTGTGTGACCTTGGTTGTCAGGGTAAAATGCTCTGAGCAAAGTAAGTTAACAATGAGTAAGGCATGGAAATATGAATGAACTGGTCAATACGACCAAATTAATTATCGCAGATTATAAGTAAATAGGTTTGCCATCATGAAATTTTGGTAGAAGTCATTTCCATTCACAATCTGTATATCAGGCACGTCTTGTGTATGGCACCGCGCACTCCCATTAGGTTGGCTGTCTCGAGAGATTTTCCGAATAAAAGTTGCTGTTTAAGTCCAACTGTGGGTACCGGAGGAATATGCCTGGTCACCAATACGAATGCATCATCAAGGCTATCTAGTACTCTCATCAATTTTACCTCAGGGTGTATGTTCAGGTCATTGAAACAACTCGCCCACAAATCCGGCTAAGTTAAGACTGGAACGCGAACGCATGCGTACAAACATAATGAGGAAACACATTCCACGTTTATTAATTTATGAAAAGAACAGACTACATCGGGATTTCCCCTCAATCCTTACGTCGTGAAATACTACCGTTGTGTCAACAATATGTGGAGCGAAGCTCTGAATATACAAGTGCTAACGTATTAGGAATGTTACTGTGTTGCGTGAATTTATAAGCCTTGGCTATGGACACACGACTGTAATTGGGGAAGATAATTGGTCGATTTCAATGCATTTGGTACTCAAAGTAGGGTAAATATTGTAGCAAGAAGTTACGCAAATATATCAAATCCACAATAATCTGCATTATTTTATAAGTATGCATTTCAAAGCGTCAATTCGTCAGTGTTGCTGATGATTCAACGATAAGTCACCTTCTGAGTTGAGTTTATGTCACGAGTGTGTCTTCAATCCGAAGTACGAAACGAGAGCAAATTGGCAATTTCAATTTCTTTGTTGAAATCTTTGGTGTATGCTTTCATAATGCCTAATTCAACAATGATTCAAGCGACAGTCAACACTTTGAAAATGGTTCTAGTGCAAAAGAGATAACATGATCCACGTTCTTATTCTTTTATTATCTAAACGCATTGGAAAACCCATCAAGCGATACTTAATATAGAAGTCAACTGATCGAATGAATTCTGATTCGGGTTACTGTGGAATCAACCTAATAATAGCACACAAGTTAAATAATCACGAAGAAGTTTTTTGAGTCCCGTGTAATTGCTGACCAAATAGCACACGATCATCAGAGAATTGCATGTCTCGACGACGACATGCGATGCGATGAACGTACTCAAATGAATAACTTTTCTGACATATATCGAAAGAAAAACGAGAGGTGTTCAAATTTAGAAGCTTGATGCTGACATATTTTAGGTGGTTTTATTTTTGACAGTCAAACAATATATGGGTGTTTGTGATCGATGAAACACGAAGGTATATAAAAAACGGTCAACAGTACCAGCAACAGTCCTCGATTACCCGACCAACCAAGGCATTGCAATGAGCATGCGAACTGTCACTGGTTTACTCCTGCTGGTCATTTGTTTGCGTGGAATGAGTAAGTACCACTATCATTTTGGGATTACGATGAATTCTCAATTCTTCTGCAAATTGGTTTATGTTGGACGAGTGTATTGTTCTCAATACGATAAAATAATTTTGTAATATAACAAGTGATTCAGATTGCGCTTTGTGATTTGAAAATAACTTAGAGAGGTTGAATGTAGAAGTGAAAAAATGATGGTAAGTGATTCAGACATGATTGAAATGAAGGAATGTAGGGCTGATTGTATTAGGAGCTCCCAGATAATATGCCGCGGAAAACACAGAGGATGGCACATTAGCGTAGCAAAATGTAAATCAATTTACACAGGTACCTGTATAAGAATAGCGGTCTCAAACAGAAGTATCATTTGCAAAAGAAAATATGGAAATCGGTGTTTTTATCAATTCAATAGATATGCAGGAAAACACTACCGTTGGGACTGACTCGAGTACGACCGAAAATGCAAGTGGATCCAGCACAACTGAGTCCTCAAGTGAGCTCACAGTATCCATGTGTCATTTTGATTATCACTCCAAACATCTAGGTATGTGCTCTATTGCTCATATCACACAACATATTTTGAACAAATTCTAAACAAAGCTTACATCCAGGAGATGCTGGTACACAAAATATTACAGCGTTAATATGGGCACATATAAACACATTACCCATAATAATTATAGCTTTCAGCCCAATTCCATTCAAATCAATCTTATATGATTTGATAGTGAAGATAAACTTGTTTCTCAGAATGGTCAAATTCTAATCGCAAAACGAGCGCACGTTTCTATAATAAGAAACCCAGTGAATGCGGCTAAGCAAGATGGGGCTGCACGTGATTTGCAGCTCCGTGCCCGTACTTTAAACACATTTGGACAAATTCTTTTGTGTATCAGTGAGAAGACGCGACCGTTAGACAAACGCTGTTGAGTCGTTAGGCAAACCACGGGTCACATTTGATATAAACTGAACTGATATGATCAAATCTGAACTGATGTAGATGAGGGTCTACACGAACTGATTCGCCTGCATGATAGGACCGACTACAACAGAAAATGGAAGGATAATCTAATTTACAAATGAAAATATGAAAATCGGAGTAGATATTCGATTATCCGTGTTTTTATCAATTCAATAGATATGCAGGAAAGTACTACCGTTGGGACTGACTCGAGTACGACCGAAAATGCAAGTGGATCCAGCACAACTGAGTCCTCAAGTGAGCTCACAGTATCCATGTGTCATTTTGATTATCACTCCAAACATCTAGGTATGTGCTCTATTGCTCATATCACACAACATATTTTGAACAAATTCTAAACAAAGCTTACATCCAGGAGATGCTGGTACACAAAATATTACAGCGTTAATATGGGCACATATAAACACATTACCCATAATAATTACAGCTTTCAGCCCAATTCCATTCAGTTCAATCTTATATGATTTGATAGTGAAGGTAAACTTGTTTCTCAGAATGGTCAAATTCTAATCGGAAACCGAGCACATGTATCTGAAAAAGGAATGCAGCAAGAATATATGTGCTCATTAATGTTATTCCTTTCATCATATTCCGTTCAATTAGTTCGAGGAAATAACTGCGTTTACCGATTTTCGTTGTTCAACGAGAAATGAGAAAATAGTTGGTCACAAGAATCAGCTTATTCTATGTCACCAATTTATATCCTTCTGAGCATTGAAAGGCAGGATGTAGCTTCACATGATTTGCAGCTCCGTGCCCGTACTTTAAACACATTTGGACAAATTCTGTTGTGTATCAGTGAGAAGACGCGACCGTTAGACAAACGCTGTTGAGTCGTTAGGCAAACCACGGATCACATTCGCTCTAAACTGAAATGAAATAATCAGATCTGAACTGATGTTGATGAGTTTACCCAATGTGGTCATATATTTCGGATTTGAGGAAAATAGTAATTTCCTTAGAGGTGGTTGACATAGACGCACACACGATTTCACACTTTGATTCGCCTCTGATTTCGTTCATCGGTATATTTGGTCTAATTGGTGGTTGGACATTCAATCAAATAAGACACACAATCGCACTGGATATGCTTGCAAATTGAATACACAAATAACCATCTTCTCTCCATTTTTCCTACTTGATCAGCTATGCAAACTAATTAAGGCACTACTGTCAGCCCAACAACGCGAGTGCCTGCACAGAGTAAGTGTACTCTTCATACTTCTATGTATGTCTCCTTATCCTACCGCTGCGTACCATTTTGACTAGATATATCTCATCATATATCAATATACATCTACAACAATGAATTGTGAAGAAAGCATATGCAACGATAGCATGGCATGTATGGGTAAACACACATTCCTCAATATTACTAATTGAATTTCCATTTATTTCGATTCGATTCGATTCAGTTCAATTCGATTGTCAACGTTGCTTCACTTCCCGATTTTCATCAATCAACACAGCAACCGTGGGATTACTGTGATCGATATTCAACCTAGTCTCTTGACTGGCAAGATCGAACACGCTAGATTTGCAGTTAGACGGCCTTGCATTAGATGACTTATACTAATTGCACATTATCGCTGTTGTTAGCGGTCGGTTAACACCCCGAAACAGAGACCAAATTTCACCGCTGACCACATCTAACTGCATCTAACTTGACCTGATGGGATCTGTTCCGATCTTTTGCGATCTCGATGAGTTCATACGACCCAGGCTGACATTATCAGACTTTAGGAAAAAGTAGTTTCATGTTAGCCAGCTTCCATTGACGCATGCACAAACACATCTCGAATCGACTTGATACTCATTTGGTTCATCCGTTGATGTGACCGACTTGGTGGTGCACGTTTCGATCTGACAAACACAAGATTAGATATTGCACTTTTGTCGATTGAATACATAGTTAGCCATCCACTTCCTATTTTACCCACCCAAACAGGTACACAGAATAGTGCGGGCAACATAACCGCCTCATCCACACAAACGACTCCATCTCAACCTGTAACCACAAGGGCCGCACAAAGTGAGTGCATATTTCCTATCCATCACTTCATTTCTCTATAAGACCATCCACATATATATCTGACTAAATATATCCATAAAATTTATTTTTGAATTAAAAAATAATTAGGATCATAATGGATGCAGCGATGGAATTTATTATGTGAAGAATATGCGCATAACTTATTTTATTTCATCAAACATTCATTACATTCGATGGGACTTGAGTCGTTCAACAATGTGACATATTTTCCTGGTTTCCATCCTCGAACGGGGTTTGAGGAGTAACAGTGACACAATGCCCGTACTTGAGGCAATTTATTCGGTTTGCACAATTTAGATTTCGTGATATCATGTTGGCTAAGCTCAATGCATTGCCAGAGAACAATACACATTCTGAATCATATCTGATTTATTATGAACTGTTCTGATTTCATCCTTCCTGGTTGATTTCATCGAATTGTCTCCGATATTATCAGCTGGTTAAGAAGAATATGATTCATGATAATTGATTTGCATTCACACACGCATATATACATATATATATATATATATATATATATATATATATATATATTGATTCACCTGCGTTCATGTGTCAGTGGTCCTGGACTATTTCAATCTGAGATGCACATGATCAACTGGAACACATCTATCAATGGTGTAGCCAGTTAAAAATCATTTCCTTATTCTCTCCACGCCTTCGTTTCAACCAAACACGCAAATTTCTCCCAACCGGCGGCCACAGTGTTCACACAAAGTGGGCTCAAATTTGAGTCACAATATTATTTTCATTAGCCTCATTATGTTTGAAATTATCTCGTTGTACTCATCTTGTGGTCAAGCTGAATTTTCCGGTCTTATTTTGTTGGCATCGATCACATTGAGAGGGCTGAAGTCGAACAATCACTGGTTTATTTATTGGTCACTTTTTGGTCACCGAATTACGCACGTGCGATAACGGGCACACAAACTGGTCCTATGCAGCGAATTATTATCATTTCTTTAGTATGGCTTTCTCCGGCTCCGGCTATTAATTTGACGGCAATGTAAATCTCATACATCGTTCTCTTTGATTCGTTTATTTCACCGTTTGATGAGAAATGCACATTTTCTCGATTATTTATACCATCAACCATTCTATCTTCTTGCTTCCAGCTACATCTGCCACTGGTGAGTTATCCGTTTCTTGTCCATTTGTCTCTGCGTATGCCATTCTTCACATCCGTTGACATGCGAGTCCAATTGTTTGCATGCTGGTTGGACTCTTTCTGCGCGGTAGTTCATTTTGGCGTTTATTCTTCGTTTTCAGGTGGATCAATACGGCCACTGATTCACAAAACTAGTTGGATTCTGTTCCCCGTCATCGGAGCTTCATTGTTCTGAGTGCCCACTTTGAGAAACTAATCAGATCCACCCATGGGATGCAGCCTATTATCCTCTTTAATGGTCATACCGATGATGATCTCAATCACGTGAAATATACATTTGACAAATGTACATTTTCAGAAATCCGCAGTTCTGTATTTCAAATTATTCAACCACGTGTAGTTAAATTTCACTTTGATGACTCTGCAACGTACTATTTGTGTGAGTGACACATGTCAAAGCGAGAGATTTAATGGGTGACCATGCACGAGAACGGACCAGAATCATTTCGATCTTCATGTAACTGGTTCGCATTGGAATAGGGGTGAATACTCCAGGGATGGTGTATCCTATGTTGTTTGACCACCCGATCATGATGGCATCAAGCGACGTGGTAGATTCATCAAATTTGACATGGGAATTGGGCATCAATATCTTTGTCGGAACCAATCCAGCACAAAAGTTTAATGGTGCGACAAACTGAGTAGCATTAGGAGTTCGTTGATCTTCAATTTAATGCGCAAAATATTACTGTATAAAGGATCTAATTTTACAGTATCCTCAAACATTCTCATTCTCTCTCGATAGTGGCATCATTATTTCACGCTGCCATTGATAGGTTCCAGTCGGTTTTGTAACATTTTGAGCAGTTTTGAGGATTTATATCTGGGCAAAGCACACCACAACAGCAGCAATTAAGTTCAATTTGAGTAAATTCGGATGGGACTGTGCGGGGCTGCAGGGAATGGTGTATTCGAAATCCTACTTTGTGGGTGCTGATGACAAGCCTCCAACACTAACTGCTAATTTCATATTCCTAAAAGTACAAGTTTGTTCAGTGTTCGCTTTAACAGAGGTGAGGCGAAAACCAAGGTATAAAGTTTCTGGGTATTACTTCTATTCTTATTCTAACACTCCTTTGTGTATGCTGCCAACGAACAGTTATCCGATACTTTATCGAATGCCTTCGGTAACATGCTGTTGATAACCCATTGCGACAATGTGAGCCAGAAGTTTGAACATCTGTTCGCTGTTTTATTACCTAATATCCTTGATATTTGAGTATCTCTTTTGCAGTCTGAGACTACGTACGTTAGTTTATCCACTCCTCAGCGTCTCTATCTAAGGTCCCCGTATTCCTCAAGTTCACAGATGAGATAGGTCTATGCCTCAACATAGCTATCCGTCTTTAGTCCGCCATCACCAGGAAACTTGCCAGAGGCTAGTTAATATATATTGTTTCGTTGATTACAACCGAATGAAAAGCGAACCCACTTGGACAATTCTAAATAGACCCATCCATAACATACAAAATGGACACGAAACCATCGGAGAAAGAGCTACATATACGACGTCTTTGACATAGCTCAGCCGGTGCGACACTTCACGTGTGGATGTTAGTTAAGTCTCCCACGGGTATGCGGAGTATCTTATGAAAAACAAGTAGAATGACAGTTGGGAATTCATCATATAAGTAGTCACAAGGCTCTGAGACTAGAGCACGGCTACATGAATATATATGGTAACAATATATTAGAAAGTGGGATTGTGGGAAGAGACGGACATACAAACTATTCATTTGTCAAACCAATTCCAAATGATTCAGCGGCCACAACACTGGCTCGTTTCCTTCGTAAAGCTCACTCTGATCTTTTTGAATTTCCATTCTGCCTATCGATTTCTATATGATTTGTATCAAACAAGTGCCCGGGGGGTTCAACAAATTTAATCTGAAGACACTAAACGTAGGTCATAGCGTCATACCAGGAGGTGGGGGACTGGTACACAAAGAATCCATTTATTCATAGCATGCTAAGAGCTTCCATAACAGCCGATGACATGCGACTATTGCCATAGCGATTCTGATGGGCCTTATAAAGTGATTACTTTAGAGTGGATCAGACACTATTCCCGTTGAAAACATTAAATTATCCGAAATATTTGTGGGTCTGCTTTATTGTACAAGATGAATGTTAATTTACGGAATACTTTCGAAGGCGTTGCAATAGGTCTGCTCGATTGTTCCAAGGGCTCGAAATAACTAAAGGCTTACACATGTATTGCTCCATCCCTACCATTTCTTAACTTCACCCATCGCATATTACGTATTAGATCTATTCCCCATCGCATCAGAAGCACCAAACTCGAGCTTTCTTCTTGTTGGACCTAATCCGTGTTGCATATTCACTACCGCGCACAGGGTATGAAACCGCGGCATTCTCACATTGAAGCCGTGTGTGTTACCAATGCACCGCCACTTGAGTCTGGTGCTCATGACTGCAATACTGATTCGATAAATTAAGGTTTCTGAATGAAAGTTGTAATCCATATGGCAGTCGGTCAAGAACAGCGTAGTCATTTTATTCTTATTTCAATTATTCAAGCAGTCTGCAAGTTTGTAAATAAATAATCCGTCAATGGACATGGTACTCAATATTCTTTCGGTATGATGAATAAAGGTACACTATGACCTGACCTGATCCGGTGCGAATAAATCTTCCGAGAAGCGGCTAGGGAATGGCGTTGTGAAAAAGAAATGCACAAAACGATATTATATAAAATGAAATCGGAAGTGTCAGAGAAGCTACAAATAATTGGAGGATCATTGCTGCCCTCATAGGAGTACAGTCGGATTCAATATAATGGCTTTTCGGTTTCGTTCAGTTTATTTCAAATCAGTTCAGTCCAGTTCAGTTCATTAGCAAAAAAGAACGATTTTTGGCTGAATGTGACTGGACACATTCCGAAGTAACTTTTGACTCGATGACTCATTTGGACTGCACAAAACAAATTCCGGCAAGATATCCATCATGGGTTATCGTGAGGCATCTACTGTCGACAGGTCATCAAGTTGACGTGATCAGGTCATTCAAAGTACGATTCAGAAACCGAAAAGCAAAACTGGTGGCGTTCAGCTAACCTATGTTGAGTGAAACAGAAAATCCCCCTCTTTGAGAACCGAAACAAATCGGCTTTCATGAGCTAACTCGAACAAACACGTATGATGGTGTCAGACCATAGAGAAAGGAATGAGTTAGAGCGCATCATATCATTTCACATCAGGTCCCACATAATCAGTGATATGCTTCGCGCGTGACACACAGTCAGTATTTTCTGGTTGAGAGAAATGATATTTGGAAAACACAGGTTGTCGAACAAGTTCGTTTTCAGTGATTTCTATTCATGCAAATACAACACAATATATATGACTAGATGCATAAGGGATACAGTCAACGAAATTCGTGCTATCGACCAGGCTTTTGTCTGAACGCATCCGCGAACACCACTCTGCATGGGTAAACACTGGAGCAGTAAAGTCACTCTTTAAGGCTGTCTTTTTCCACTTTTTTATACTGATCGTACGGTAAACGTGTCTGAATAATTTCGTTCCCTGGATAGTTTCGAGGTTAGCATTCAAGACCGGTAAATTGTGGCATACTAGCAACAGCTGAGGCTGGCGACACCAACCTTCACAATTCCCACTTTTGTTCTGCGAAACAATATATGTACGCCATTTGTAATGAAACGGGCCCAATACGTCGCTCTTAGACGACCTGGTTCAGTAGAGCAGACAGCACATGATCGGCTAACCAGAATCCCAGACAGCAGGAGAACCATTCAGGTGATCAATGAACGAATCAGAGGTCAACATTCGTCTGAACCAACCAGAGTCAAATCACTCACATATTATGATGTACTGGCATTAGTATCAGTCACTGAAACCATGCTTCTTCGTCAAAGTATGTTCTCCAAATGTGTTCTGTAGGAATTTTCTGACAATCACCTGAATTTCAGATCAATTTTTCCTCACTCAAGCCTTAACTGCCTTTGAATTCCGACTTCCACTAAAATTTCACTCCATCCTGAATGATATGATCGTTTGACTTTGATATACGGTTGTGCCTAGCAATCCCTCATGCGCCAATTGAAACTTCTACACTGTTCTATATACATATACCAAGATACCATACACTGGTCTTACTGAAAACACATGGTCATGCAATCGAGTATGCTTCGAACTTCCCTGGAATAAACCGTTTGCATTTTCAATACCATTATCATAGTTCCTTCTGATTTCTTCCAATGTAATATATTCCGGCATTGGTAATTGCACTTTGGTCGCGATTTAACTCAAACCATTTTCGCATCAATACAGCACTTCCGTCAACACATCTGAACACAATGTCAGTATCCATGGCACATATGAAGTAGAGCGTGCAGGAATAATGAGACAAATGGCGTAAGGAAGCTAATACTTACTACACTGGAAAAGCAAACGATGGTTGAGTAGTAATCAGAAAACCTGAATCGAGAGCCACAGATATGATCTTGCTGACCTGCAGTATAAATAATATGGTCCGAGAAATAATGGGAGCGGATTCAAAAGACAGAGTTTCATATTAGCAATCGAACGAGGAACAGTCTGATTTAGAGTGATATACCAATTTTATGTATCAGTGATAATAAAGATGGTGATTGTCAGAAGTGGATGAAGTGTCACCACACAATCACTGTCATAGAATGCTTAGGGAGATTGTTTTCGAAATGGCAAATTTAGATATTGTTCGCTTCTTCTGACGAACGATTCATAGCATTGGCAAAACGACAAAAAATGACAAACAAACGAGTAAATTGTGGATGACCACGAGTTTATCTTTTATTGGAGATAAAGTGAATAATTTTTGGTCGATTTCATCAAATGACCCGCTAGATCGACTTGCACACAATGGAAACGAGCGTCTGAGATAGCGGACGATCCTAGAAGTTTTAATAAGCCTGTGAAGTTCAGACCGCTGAAATTTTAAACAACTACTTGCTGATTCATTTAAACCCTAGTTCAATTTTGCCCACGGGAACCGCTCAGTCGTTAACATAAACAAAGCGTACATGCCTTGGTGTGACAATCCGTGCAATGTCCTTAAGACGAACTTGCACGATGCACATAGTACCACTGGACGTATGCACGTTGCGACACGTTACACAGGACCGTGCCCTCCGAGGAAGTGTATGGCATTGGT